CATTTTCTTTTAAATATTTATATTTAATTTACACATTTTACACTAAATCGTATTTATCCAAAACTTCCTTTGGAGAGGTATATTCGCCGATAAAAACACCCTCACTTAAAACTTCAAAATCGGTCTCGTCTAAATCAACCATGTATCTATTATGGCTGTATCTATAATGGGGCTGTAATCTTTGACCCACATAATAAGTATTTCCGTAATGTTGACCGATAAATAAAAATAAATCTTTGTCATTTTTTTTCGTGTCAATAAAAACTTCGTATCTTATTCCTCACTTGCTATCTACTAATCACTTTTTTTCTTTACCGCCTTTAATAATTGCCACTGACCCATTTTTGCCTTTTGGTTCCAAAGAAAAATCACCGCTTAAACCTTGCCTAACCACTTCCAAACTAAAACCTTGTTTCTTTTTAAGATTTCATAAATACCAAATCAACTTACCACTTTCACTAATTTTTAATCCTGCATTATAAGGAAAAATCAATATGTTTTTATTATCTGTTAAACTTACAAAACTATAACCATCCTCATTAATAATCGGATTTTCATAACTGGCTTTGCCTCCGTTTTTGCTATAATAATGTCTCAACTCTTTTTTATCGATATAAAAATACTCCTTCAATCCACTTTCTCTATCTTTCCCAACCAGATTTTTACCTTGTCTTAATTTCAATGTAAACTCACGGGCTACACCTCCAATATTTTTATAATCACCTTGAGCTTCAATTTTCAAATAATAATCTTTGTTATATTTAGCTACTCTTACTAAAATTGTTATGTCATCTACTTCGTAATTTCTCTGCTTTTGGATGTCAAGGATAGCAGAATTAACCCCGTCTATTTTCTTATTTGTAGTTTCCATTGCTTTTAATTGCTTTCTCCTTTTTTGTTTAAGATCGAAAAAAGGTAACCTGACCGGATTTGCTTTGCGTTTTTGCTCCTCATTCTCCATTACAACTTCTACAATAGCCATTTTCTTCTATCACGTTTTCCCCTTTTTCTGCTTCTTCTTCGCAAGCCTCACAATCTTCTCCACACTCTAAACACCAATATATACCTGCTAACTCCAACAAATCACGACGGCTAATCATTTTTGCTTCTTCTCTTCTTTTAGCCTCTTTTAAAAACTCATTTAGAGGGATATGTCCCCACTTACTTTCAATTTCCTTTATATCTTTATTGCTTTCCATTATTTTTTCTTACTTTATTTATATAATGATATCTATATTTCTTGCTTTCTTTAAGGGCTGAGGCTACTCCCTGAAAAATTTTTGTTAAAATTCCAAACTGCTAAAAAAAACTTTAATGTCGTAGACATTAAAACCTCCTAAACTCACGCGGGAGACATCCATTTTTAAACTGGTTGCCTCTTTTTGTTGAGCCTGCCCCTCGTTTCGCCCCCC